ACGCTTTGCAATTGTGAAATGACACTATGCTTTTATATGTTACAGTAATAAATGTATAGCGCACTTTTCCTTGTGGTCTAGGGAAAAATCTATGCTCTGTTGGGCCTGTTACAGCAGTAATCATCTCGCCATCTTCTTGCAATGATCATAGTCGAATAAAGATGAGCATCGATCGCCTGCTACTAGACGGTGAAGAATCAAAACTAGCTGACCGGGAGATTTTCCAACATGCTGGAAAAAAAAATTCCATTTGCTACCTGACTTGGCTCATACAGTGCAAGAAAGCCTCATAATGAAATTGAAAGCAAGTAATGCTCCCTAAAACATAACCTCACCAGCATACTGTATATCTGTTTCAACCACTGTGTTTGCATGTGCAGAGAGGGCAAAGCAACTGGTTCTTTTTGTTAAATACAACAACCCCCGCACTAGAAATATTTAATGATGCACTTCCTATAAACAAAAAAAATTATACAACACACTGCTAATCAATACTTGGGCTCCATTCACACAGGAGCGGTTGTCCATGTGTATTTGGCCAGCCGAATAAATGCACAGCCCGCTCTAAAGAGAAAAAACAATGCACTTTAATATGCATTGTTAAGACTTTTTGCGGCCCGCAAAATAGTCCAAGCGCAATTTTTTGTCACTGATTCCGCACAAACGAGCGGAATCTGTGCGGATGAAAGATTTTAGCATTTGCATTGCCCCGCGGTCTCCCACAAGGAAAACGCTATATGTGAATGGAGCCTTGGAGAAAGGGACATCACTGAATTTAAGTTATTGTTGCTGCTTCAGCATGCCTTATTATTCCTAAGACTGAACACTAAGTAATGGGACTTTATATCCAGTGCATGTCTCTTACGATGTATTTGCAATTATCGGATATCCTTCCTCCATATGCTATCTGGTTAACAGGCCATTATGTTAGTCTGCAGAAGGACCATGATGACAAAAAAGAAAGCTCCTTGTGTATTTTTACAGGGAGACGATGTAACATTAGAAAATGTGTGTGGTAAAACAAGACCTAATCAGATCATCTACAATAATGATGAAACTGCTATTTTGTCTTGGAGTGTTTTTAATATACATTTATACTTTTAATGACATTGTAATTCATTTTATGTTTGCATGTTACAATGTATATATATATATATATGTATGTATGTATTTGTATTGTATGCACTGGATATGAAGTTCTAGTACTTGGTGTTCATTCCTGGGGGGTGGGGGGGTAAAAATTCTATAATAGAATGCTCTTTACAATTTGTCACAAACAGCCGTACATTACACTGGTATTTTTTGTAAGACGTTGCAGCAGAAATTTCAGTGTCAAGTGCAGTTCAAGTACAACTAAAAACACTTGTATTACAGTCTTAAGTACCAAAATCAACTACTATGTGATGTACAAGCTTTATGAAGTAAACCCCAAACCTCCTTTACCTTCCTTGACTGATGCAAATATCCTACATTTTGTTTCTCACATGCTCCCCCTCTGACACTGCAGCTCGCAGTGGGAGGGTTTCATCAACAGAGGCAGTGCTGTGAATCAGCAGTGACAATGGTGATAGCCCCTACAACATTTTTTTCATCCCACTGTAGTGCAAGCTGGCACATCCTACATAAGAGTGGCAACTCTGCTCCAAATTCAGGAGCAGTGCAGCCTTGTTGCTACACCATCAGAGGGAACTGCATTTGGTGGGTTTCACTGGCAGGCTCAAATGGTATTCCCTGGACTTTGCAGAACGACTAAGAGCAAACTGAAATGGAGATGCAATTATAATGGAATGCTGCAGGACACTTACTTTTTATCAATAGGTGGCCATTGTTCTACTATAAATGAGACCTAAGAGTTACAAACACAATATAAGCTGTGCTTAAACCAATGTCCAAAGAAATGCCCTGAAAATGTGCTTAAATGTGGAAAAATGTTCCATCTAAAACTACAAATGTAGGTGTGCAAAAAAAAAAAAAAAGACTTGAAAATATTAAGATCAATGCTTATTCTTGGTAAAAAAAAAATTCTCAGTTAAGGTAACTCGCCACCACTAGTGCTTGCATGGCTCTGTCTCTGAGTGCTTCCCGTGCCATCTGCCCGCACATGACAACAGACCCTTTGGATGCTGGTGGAACTTGAATTATAGCTTTAAAGCTGGCCATACAACTATAGATTTTCTGCAGATTTTCTATGGTCCGATGGAAAAAGTGCAACAGATTCCTTTATCTACGCTAAACTGCAGAAAATCTATAATTGAGGTCTAAGAATAGCAGTGACTTGGCACTTTATTTTTGGACCCTTTTTGTGAACTTTGGTTTATACAAAATATACACTTTTGGCAGCTAAGCCGGCCAGTGTGGAAGGTAAGCATATGATGCTGGTGGAGTTAATCATTAATGTGAACCTTTTGCTATGCCCTGCTTTGTCATGCTGTAAGAGATATTGCCAATATGATATATGTGACATAAGAGGCCAAGGGGTCAATTCACAAAGAGAAATGTTCTTTGCTCTCTGTAGTTGTCAATTTACCTCTCCTTATTAATCGTTTGAAAACATGGTATCCATAAAAGTCCCAATCGTTATTTAGCATGCTTGTTAACACTTCCAACTAAAGCAATAGGGAGTTATTTTTACATGTTCGCTTTCTTCTTCTTTTTTTGTGTTTAGCAACTGAAGCATAATTTTTACGTCTTGAATCGTAGAATTAACATTTAAGGTCTTAAAATATGTTTGACTGATGCATTCTGGGATTGAAATTGATGGGATAGGATTGAAACGTTAAATAACGAGTTACACGATAAAATATAATTTCTGCAAACACTGACTTTAATTGGTGAAGATTCCAAGCATTACATCATTTGGTGAATTGAACAAACCTAAATGAATGACACCAAAGAGTTTAAGTACACTGTGTTGTGATACAATTATCCAGACAATCTGTTCCTAGAGGAGAGAAATTGGACGGATCTCTATTAATAGAATCTTGCATACAGAATGAACCATGTGGTTAGTTTTTGTGTGTGGTGGGTTTTTTCTATATAAGTTTTTAGCGTCATTTGTCATGCACAAAGGGCCACTTGGACACTTTTTTTTTTTCTTCAAATACACATTTTTATAGCCCTATTATTAGAAAGGTGCACATATCTGTTTTTTTTAGGCAGTGAGCAATATGTTAAGGTATTTTTTTATATGATCTGAACTTTCACAAGTGAGTTTGCGTTAATAAGGGAAAATGTATGGCCTCCTTGAAACACTGCAATAATAATTTCAAGCTCTACCGGGAGATGATACTGTTAAAAATTAAGATATACTGATGGTGAAGTGTGTGTGTGTGTGTGTGTGTGTGTATATATCTATATACATATAGATAGATATATATCTGTATGTATGTATGTCTATCTATCTACCGATCGATATATCTATCTATCTATCTATCTATCTATCTATCTATCTATCTATCTATCTATTTCTTAGTTTTGTTACATTTTGGTTATTACACAAGAGTAACACTTAAAGTAGTAAAATCAGGTTTATATTGCTTGAACCTACCTGTCACTTGACATTAAAAAATTGTGCTTTGTTGCTTATTGCATGTGACAGTCAGCCCAAGATTTTGTAGAAGATTACTTTAGTGTTTTTGTGTGGCAGAATGAGGACACTTTTACATATTTATTTAGATGACTTTTGATGCATCTCTGTATAGCTACTGTATGATATATATATATAT